AAATACTTACCTGTTAGGGCCAGACTCCTGGGCCCGGGGTAGAGCTCAAGGCTTGGAATCAGGAATAGATTCCTTTAAGGGAATACGACCAAAAGCCTAGAATCATACTAATCTTGGCCTGTCACACAGGGGCTACCACACGTTTCACTTTGTATGTGCTGAAGGAACTGTCTCAACAGACCCCTAGTAGCAACAACCTGTTAAAGTAGGTATCCAGAGGATACATAGGAGGAGTGGTGCCCAAGGCGGAACCGGGGTTTTAAACCACTCAGAAAGAGCACGAAGCTGTTGCGCGTAGCTCTTACCGTACAGGATTTTAGAAAAGTGGGTAAAGCATAACGTGCACACTTACCACTTATGTGGATTTTAGAAAGTGGGCAAAGCATAACGTGCACACTTACCATCTATGTGGATTTGTAGAAAAGTGTGCAAAGCTTAACGTGTGCACTTACCATAGTATTTGGATTTAGAGTTTTCCAAGCATCTGTTTGCAGATACCCGAGAGTACTGGGCCAAACGGGAGAGGCAAGCTCAAATACAACCCTCAAAGGTGAGGGGAGCACTGCCCGAGACGGCATTTACACAGGGAGGTTCTCGTAATGCCACCTATACCTCCGCTTGATGCCTCAGCAAGAGGGGATATCCTGGTGATCGGGAAGCCCCTCAGGGCGACAACCGCGGGAAGCAGATGGCTGCCCCTTTTTCCTCAAAAAGAGAGACAAACGAGAGCGGAGCTTTTTACCTTGGAAAAAACGCTCGCAATGCACGCCGATTGCCCCCTCGGAGGGCAATGCTCTTCGCCCAAACAAATAACGCATAGATCGTGTGGTTCATCAGATGTTAAACAACGTCAAAACTCATGCTCTTCGCCCAAACAAATAACGCATAGATCGTGTGGTTCATCAGATGTTAAACAACGTCAAAACACAGATGCACACATCCTTAAACACTTTGCTAGTGCTCGCCATAATGAGATGAATAGAGATCGCTCTTACCACAGAATTGCACGCTTCAAACTAAACAGTCAATGAAGACGAAGAAGTGAATGATGTGTGCTCCCGGCGCCTATTTATACTATAGTCACACCGGTAGTGACATCATGGCTGTCGCTGGCCAACGAGTTGGTGTTTTTTCAATGTATGCTTCAGACACGGGTCACGACGAGGCGTTCCCCATAGCGACCCCTAGAGGACGCAGTTCGAAGTTCCCATGAAAGGGAACTGTTTTTGCTGCTTAATATTTTTGTGGAAAATGGAAATCGTTATACATGACCATTCAAAAATGTAGGTTGAGTAAGATTTTAAAGTAATAATAATACTTTTATTTAGCAAGGATGCATTAAATGTATCAAAAGTGACAGTAAAGGAATTTATAATGGTACAAACGAAAGAAAAAAAATGTAATTCATTGAAGAATCCTGAAAATAATTTATCATGATTTCCACAAAAATATTAAGCAAAAATTGTTACCAACTTTGATAATAAGAACGATTAAATTAATAATAATTGAGTACCAGTAATAACTGATAAAAAATAATCACCAAATCAGCATATTAGAACAAAGTCCCTTTATGTTTTCTGTAGTCTTTGATTAGAATGATTTCTAAACAATGATGTGACACTGAAGACTGCAGTAATGGCCACTGAAAATGTAGCTTTGCTATCACAGGATTTTTTTCTTTTTTATTAAACATTAAAAATTGTAATGTTATTTCACAAGACTACTGTTTTTACTGTATTTTTAATCACATAATGCAACAGTGAGCATAAGACACTGCTTTCAAAAACATTCAAAATCTTAACCGTTCCAAACTTTTGCCCTGTAGTGTACATGTAAGTGATTTGATTTAATAGAGAAATGGAGGTTTTAGGTCAGTTTTGCTAGCTTATAGTTTAAATGCAGTTTGAATAGTGCTGGAGGAACAACCAGAAATGTTGTAGCAGATTTGAGGAGGACTAACAAATGTGCCTGACTCCCACCACCTGTCTGTAGGACCCCATTTGCTTACAGTCTTTTTTCTATCATTGTCTGACCCTACATCCAGTCTGGCACCCTTAAATGTATAGAGCCCTCCCCCATATACGTAACCTGTATGTGCTTAATGTGATTTGCTGGTGAGAGGAGGTTTTGATGGTGCATGAGCAGCCTGAACACGGATTAGGAGGAGACATCGATCAAATGGACTGGACAGTATTATGATTATGATGCACTTTTCAGTTTTGTTGCTAAATTTAAAGATTAGTTCAACTGAAAGGTGTCATTACTGTAATTTCAATAGCGTGAAGGAAAATGGAGCAGACTATCAGAATACACTGGATATGAAAGAATAACAGCGAGAGAAAAGGGATGCAAATAATTTCAAAGAGGGAGGCATGGCTTTAGCTAATAGTGAACTGAAAATGTACTGATTTGAACTGTAGCATCTTTATACTGTGAAATATGCCATTAATCATGCCGTAAATCTTCCTTTCTTCCAAAAAGAAAAAAAAAAAGTTGAAAGAAAATGGCAATCCTGAACAAAATGTATGTAATTGCCTTAATACTTAATTGAAATAGAGACGTGTGTTAATTAGATAGGTGGAAATTTTTCAAAAATTTTTTTTTAGTTGTTATAAGATTTTTTCTTTCTGTGAATAAACTTCAAGATGGGTGTAACTGTTTTCTTGACAGGATAAAATTCGATTATTTTTTTTTGCCATATGAGAACTGATTACATTGACCAATAATGAGAGAAATAACAATCAGAAACAGAATTCTTCTCAAATTTATTAGCTCTCAGATGCAAGATCTCAGTCCAGTTTCCATCATTTAACTGAAACAAAAGGCAAAGTTGCATAAAATAAACAGATGAAAGCAGCTGAGAATGGTGTGGTGTACATTCTTTTTCTTTCAAAGTAAAAAAAAAAAAGACAAGTCATATAATAACATCTTAACATGTAGTTCCAAACACAACATTTCTCTAATACATAAAGTGACACTACAAAATGTTAAACCACTCAAAGACAAAAAGATGCACGCCAATGAATATGGAGTGAAATCCTGTGCGAAATGTACAGACTTCAGCTAGACAAAGCTATTCAGACTAATGAACATGTCTATGCTTAAAAGCAGACAACATACATTCTAGAACAATCCGAGATTGGACTCGGAGACAGTTTAGTGCATTTCTTTAATGCAAAAAAAAACAAAAACCTTTTGGTCAATTTCATAGTCACTCCTGATGAGTCCAAACATGATAATCTGTAACGTTAAAATGTAACGTTTTCTAAAGTAGGATATTTATGTAATTCTGTGCTAAAGGTGACATATGAAATAAAATCACATACAAAAACATGTTCACAAATGCATTCCAGTGTTTTGCATCACAGTGTGACAGTGAAGATCATTTGGGAGAAGTTATTTCTCTGCGTGAGAGTGTTTCAGCATTTTTGTCACTGAAAACCAGATGCATCACCTATGACTAGTTTCATTAAAATGTTACGACCTCATTCCAACCAAACTAATGGCACAGCACACGACTTGCATATGTAGTTTACAGTAACACTTATTATATTAATAAATAATTTCATTTATTTTATAATTTAGGGTTAAACTAATCCAGTGAAAGAGACTCCAAAAATATTTTTTGTTATTTACACGCAACTTCACACATTTTGGGTATCAATCTTGATTAAAAATACAGTCTATAATGTATAACAGGTGTTATAAATCTGTAACCCTGTTTCTGGACTTTAAAACTCCCCTGCTGTACAAAACATACTGATATACACACACTTACGCAGGTTTATTTCTTTTTTTGGTCCTAGGCAAAACAGCCCCCCCACATACAAGATAGGCAAAGTCCCTTTAAACATGTGCACTTCAGAAAGTAACTGATACTTTACTCTCAGGTAACAACACTATAAACTTTAAAACTCCCCTGCTGTGCTTACGCAGGTTTATTTCTTTTTTTGGTCCTAGGCAAAACAGCCCCCCCACATACAAGATGGGCAAAGTCCCTTTAAACATGTGCACTTCAGAAAGTAACTGATACTTTACTCTCAGGTAACAACACTATAGTGATATAGAGATGAAGTCTTCAACATTTTACCCTTCGGTGTCCTGACCGAATGAACATACAGTAAATTCACGCACACAATGAAAGAATGGAGAAAAGAGAGACATTCCCATATCTCAGAAACCTTTCAGTGTTGGATATGAATAGAAATTTCTGGATGCTTCCTTGGCTCAGGTTGAACGGTTTCAGGAGAGGTAGTGTTCCAGCTCCGAATAAAGGCTTGGGATATGCACTCCTTTCCGGCAAAGAATATCTGGGAAGTGATCAGCTCCATACCATCCTTCACTGAGAGAGGTAAAAGGCTGCATTGTGACATGTACAATCTCATTTTTGCAACACAAGATTACTCGTGATAAGTAAAGCCATATTTACAACTGAAACATGGAGCATGGTATGAATAGACACATGAATGAATCTAATATTCAAAATACATTAAAATTGCAATTCACACATACAACGCGCTTCTATGATGAGCATATTTTTGAACTCAAATTCCTTTATAATTTTTTGAAGAGCATGTAGATTAAATAAAAAATGTTACACCGTGTCTACACCAGCTGCGAGCTTGCGCGGCACGACAAAATACAATAGAACTCATTATAATCAGTGATGCTGTCTACACTGAATCGACAAGACAAATCCCTTACAGAAAACTGCTGCTGCGTTTTATTTGACGTATTGACACACATTTCAATTGATTTTCAACGGTCGCTTTGTCGCGTCCAGTGTAGACAGACTTCAGCTGTTGCGGCGCTATCGCATCCGGTGTAGACACGGTGTTAGAGTACTACAACTGTCCTAATAATGAAAAAAAGAGCAGCACTGAAAAAGTAGTTGGCAAAATAAATACAAATATTTTAACAAAAATTTCAAAAATGATCGGAAAAACTTTTTTCTATCAAATCAAAATATTGTACTTGCAACCAAAATGCAACAGTCCCTGAAGTTCCTCATGAGTATGTTGAGATTAGTAAGTCTCTTAAAATGTCATAAAAGGGTAAAATTATCAGCTCCCATTATTAAAAAATAAATAAAGCAGCTCCCATTATATATATATATATAAAGTGGGTACGGAAAGTATTCAGACCCCCTTACATTTTTCACTCTTTGTTATATTGCAGCCATTTGCTAAAATCATTTAAGTACATTTTTTTTCCTCATTAATGGACGCACAGCACCCCATATTGACAGAAAAACACAGAATTGTTGACATTTTTGCAGATTTATTAAAAAAGAAAAACTGAAATATCACATGGTCCTAAGTATTCAGACCCTTTGCTATGTCAACAATTCTGTGTTTTTCTGTCAATATGGGGTGCTGTGTGTACATTAATGAGGAAAAAAAATAACTTAAATGATTTTAGCAAATGGCTGCAATATAACAAAGAGTGAAAAATTTAAGGGGGTCTGAATACTTTCCGTACCCACTGTATATATACACACAAACATATTATATATTTTTTATTTATTTATAGCTTTATTACTATTACTTTATTATCTTTATCTTTATATTAATCTACGTTATCTTTTAGTAATGTGCTTTTGTCATTTTTTATTAGTTTGTTTCTATTTAGTTTTAATTTCAGTTATATTTTTAGTTATTTCAGTATTTCATTTTAAACATATTTAGTTAATTACATTTGTAATTTTATGTTATGTAGTTTACATTTCCTATCTAATATTATTTAATCTCTGATTTATTTAAAACAACAAAAACATTATTTGTGACCTGTGCTGGCAAAATGAGTCACAATGAGCAATTCAAAAATGAGTTTTTCATTTTCACATTCTCCATTAAAAGACCTTGAAAACGATTTGTTGGAATCGGGATGAAAAATGACTGAGCTACACCTGTTTGAAGTCGATAGAGTCAGCAAAGTCTATTTTGAGAAGGTTCCAAAGCAAAATCACCTGCAACGTTGCATCTTTTCCTCCACAATATTACGGAGCCCCGCACACGACATGCAAGAAAAAATAAATAAATCGTGCACACGATTTACTAATTCGTTCCCTTGATGTACTAAAACGTGCACACGATTACTATTTAATTCTCTCAATTTGCTAAATCGTGCGCATTTACTAATTCGTTCCCTTGATGTACTAAAACGTGCACACGATTACTATTTCATTCTCTCAATTTGCTAAATCGTGCGCATTTACTAATTCGTTCTCTCGATTTATAAATCATGTGCACGACTTAGCAAATCGAGGGAACGAATTAGTAAATCGTGCGCACAATTTATAAATCGAGGGAACGAAATAGTAAATCGTGCACATGATTTAGTCTACTATTTTTTTCCTGCATGCCATGTGCGGGGCTCCGTACAATATAGCTATATTTTTATTTTATCTGTTATTATAAATAAGAATAGATGCAAAAAATATATAAGAAAAAAAAACAAATAGTGAATTACCGTTTTCCTTTTACATCTAAGCAGAAGCATTCAAGAAAAACAAATAATCAAATGTAAAAATCCCTTTAGTGTGTTAATTACAAATAAATTGATTATTAAAACTACAAAAGCAGTTCAATCAAGAGCAGCGAGTGATTCGCTCTTTTCTTTTATTGTTAGATTATCATTAATGAGACAGACGTCCAATATATTAATACCTACTGTAATGCACGGATCTACGGTGGCTGTAAAGTGCAAAGCAAAGCACAATTCTGAAAACAAAATAACAAATTACAAACGCAAATCCAAGTCTAAAAAACTAAATAACAATTCAGAAAGCACAACAACAATTCAGAAAACATTATAACAAGTCAGAAAACACAATGACAAATTCGAAAACAAAATAACAAGTCAGAAAACACAACGACAAATCAGACAAACCGGAAGAGGTAGGTATAGTTTGAGACAGCGCCATTGGTTTGGGATTACTCACCGCTGACTGGACGAGACATCTGTCAATCAACGTATACAGGAAGAATCAGCCGAAGAACAGCAGAGTCGTGGTAGAAAGTTCGGAGATGGTATTAAAGTAGCTCAGTTTAAATGTATTGTATTAATTGCCCTTACTCTGGAATAAAAAATACGGGGTGTCTATTTACATTTAGTTAAAAGTGGCCATAAAATATCCGCTCCAGTGGCGCAGATGGATAAGCGCTTACCCTTGGCTTTTTGATGTGATCGACCCGGGTTTTTTTTTTCTTCCTTTTCAAATCTCGTATTAGCAATGGATTCTATTTACACTAAGGTAAAATAGCAGTATTTTTAGCAATATGCTATTTACACTAAATGCAAATACCTATTTACACTGTTAAAATAGCAGGATTTCTACTATCAAGTATACTACTTGTTGCAAATAGTGGCAATTATCTGCACTTCAGTATTGTAGTACATACCCTAACCCTACCCGATACTTTATTTTCAACTTTTTGATTATTTCCTTCATTTTTATTGAAAATAAATGCCTTTACAATGTGATACGAGATTTGAAAAGGGAGAAAAAAAATCAGAAAACGTACAAATAAAGGTAATTAAACATCTAAAATAATTATTTGGAGCATTGGGATTGCTATACGAGGGCTTAATGAACTAATTTTTGTGAAAACCTCAAAATCGACATTTTTCACTGGGTTTGTCTGTAACTCAAAATTTGCCTGTGCGCATTCCGACTCATTTTGCCAGCACGGGTCACATTTAATAGTTTTACTTAACAGTATCAACACTGAAAGCAAAATAAACAGTACATTTCTATAAACCTGGGACTTATTTGTCAATGATAAATATATACAAACTCACAAAAACACATCTCAGGCATTGAGGAACTCCTGATCACTGCGCCCAATAGCATCTGGGTTGGACAGAGGGTCCAGATCTGCAAAGAGGTTAAACCAGGCAGACATGTCCCTGGACCTTCCTTTAGGTGCTAAAAAGACACAGAGACGAATCACAACAGAAACAGCAGAAAAAGAGCATCTGAGATTGTCCATATCCATCTGTAATTTTTGACATGTCATATAAAACTCCCACCACTACTGGTAGAAGAGTTTGGACTATTCTGGGTAGGCTGTCCTCCACTGGAAGGTGGCTGGAGGGGCGGGGCTTGAAACATAGGTGGAGTCGCCCATCCTGAATAAATATGAATAACAGAAAGAAAATGAATATGAACATTGCATTGACTGCACTGAATACTAGTAGCACAACGTACAAAGGTATACTACAGTTCAAAAGTTTGGGGCTAGTAAGACTTTTTTCTTATTCTCAACAGGCTGCAGTTATTTGACCAAAAATACAGATTTTTTTTTGTATATTTTAATCTTAATTTTGATTTGGTGCTCAGGTAACATTTCCTATTTTCAATGTTGAAAACAGTTGTGTTGATTAATATTTTTGTGAAAACCGTAAAACATTTTTTTAGGATTCTTAGAAAGTTCAAAGTAACTGCATTTATTTGAAACAGAAATCTTTTATAAGATTGTAAATGTCTTTACTATCACTTTCGATCATTTGATGCATCCTTGCTGAATGAAAGTATTCATTTCTTTTAAAAACGGTAGTGTACCTTGTTCATTTCTGACATGGCATGGTTGAGTTTGTGTCACGATGGCATTCAGCAGACACTGAAATAACTGGACAAAATAAATGTCAAAAATTAGAAAATTAATGAAATTATTTCAAACTTAAACATGAAGTGTTGCTGGACAATTTAAATGAATTATAAATAAATCTGAGCTTTGGGGAAATTCAGTGCTGATACTAAATGAGTGGAAGGCCCTTCGCAAACTGCAGTCTTTTTGTTCCTTTGAGGTAACAGCTGTTAGCTCTCACAATGACTGCCATGTCTCTCACGATCACAAATACCAAAAATCAATGACACACATCGCATCGAAATAATATTTTAGAAGTCAAAAGAAACTATAATAAGAACCAAACGCCTGTCCTGACATTTATTCAACTCATCACTAGTGTTTAGTGAGTAGTGTTTAAATCACCTCAAAGGTGGTTTGACAACTTTGTCACTAAATACACCATAATCAGTCAATTTTTTCCACAAAAAATACGCAGATATGTTAAGATCTAGCGTTTATGAGCTGAAGCTGTTCTCTGATCACACCTTAGTTCCTGGCCATCCATCCAACTCATCACGGGTCTGGTTACAATGTTGCAAGCAGCCTGCTTGCTTTTATCACACTTGCTTGTATTTTTCAAGCATTTTTGTTGTACACTACTGCTACGCTGTTTTTAGCAAATAGACTGAACCATGTGTTCATAGTGTATACAGGACTCTTTGCAAAGATAAATGAATAAATATTGTAAAAAGGCAGCGTTACCGGATCCCAAACAAGACAAGGAGTCATCGAGCTCGCGCTGCGTTTCCCTGTAATAATAACCCCTTTAACTTAAACACGAATGTGACATGTCGACTTCAGTCAGCAGTTCGAAACCGCAACAGTTCGGGTCCCGATAAGTGACAGTGTGCATTCATTAAATATGAGTGTATATATTTTAATTGTTATTAGGGCATCGCATTTGCTTACCCGCTGACGTTGCCTTGAGCGCCGATAGGAACGTTCACGCACGCACGTCATTCCCGCGAGAGCGCATGCGCAAGTCCAGTCAGCCCCAGACACAAGCTGATAGTTCTCAATGGATTGACGAAAATATTCATATCTTTTTGTTATAATGTTTAAGTTAGACTATACTGGCTACGTGAAACTGCGCCTATGGGGAATTAAACACAGAGAAAAAAAAGTATTGTACATAGCATACAACAGGCCTACAATTTATAGCAAAAGGAGTCCTTTTGTGGTTGTGTTACTCTATTGTAAATTGCTTTGATTAACAGTTACAGCTAAGAGGATTCATGTAAATACACAATATAGTGGGCTACAATAACCCTGTTTTAAAAAATAATGATTTGCTGATCTTAGTTTATCCAGCATGGTCAGACTAGTATGTTTGCTGGTTTTAATTGTAGTAGTTTTAGGCTTTTGTTGTGTTTTTTTCAGCTGGTCAGGCTGAGAGTGCAGCTGCCAAGCAGGTAAACACCAGTTTCACCCATCTTTACGTTTAGTCTGACTTCAGATGCTTCTTTTCCATCAGAAGTGGCCTACAGGACAGATTAATGCATAGGCCTGCAGATAGAATGTTTAATATATTACAACACAATTCCCGTTAAAAGATTTTTAAATGCTTATGTAACAGAACTGAGGATGACAACTTGCTGGTTTTAATTAACTGGTCTCCCAGCATGGTCCGACTGGTCTGTTTGCTTGTTTTAATATAGTTTTAGTTTTTTAGCTGGTCAGGCTGGGAGTGCAGCTGCCGACAGCTAAACAACAGTTTTACCCATCTTTAATAAATGCTTATTTTCCAGCAAAAGCAGCACAGCACAATGCATAGTATAGAATAATTAATAGAATATAATTCACTTGTAAAGTTCATCTTTATTTTTATTTTTTTAAATGTGACAGAATGGAGTAGTGGCAAATAGACATTTATGCCCAAAAGATGGCGCCACTGACACAGAGAAACCAGTGATGCCTTTCATCTCAAATGTTTGTACCTTTATAACAGTAACTCAGTGGGTACATACACTCTAAAAGATGCTGGGTTAAATACAACCCAGTGCTGGGTAAAATAGGGACAAACCCAACAATTGGGCTGTTTTGAACCAGCGGTTGGGTTACTACCCAGAAGGTTGGGTTAAACATTTAATCAAACCACTGGGTCAAAACAGCCCAATTGTTGGGTTTGTCCCTATTTAACCCAGCATTTTTTAGAGTGTACAACTTAAGTATTTTGTTGTATAACAGGAACAAGATTAAATGTGTGCTACAGCAAGACCATGTTAAAGACATATATAAAAAAGAACAGCAATTTGATATCATTCATTTAAAAGTTCAAAGTAAAAAATTGTTTAAATCGATTCAGATTTGAGATGATTGAGGTGCCCCATAGTGTGTATTGTAGCTTAAGATTGGTTACATAACATCTGATATAATAAATAACTCAAAGTATACAACTGAGAAAAATCAGGAAGCTGCGGTTTTGCTTGGTACACTCAGTCGCACGCTATCAGTGTGAAAAAAACGGATCCAAAGTCACATACATACCCTAGTCTTTTCACACATATGCGTTCACATCCACACCCAGACACACGTTTGATGTACACAGACGGGCATATGCCAACACCTTACCTCACCTTGGTTCAAACAACAAAAGGCAGGGAGACATAGACTGCTTCAGAGGAGTCAAATCAACTACACTCTTAAAAATAAAGGTGCTTCACGATGCCATAGAAGAACCTTTTTTTCTAAATGGTTCCATAAAGTACCTTTAACATCTGAAGAACCTTCAGGTTCTTTGTGGCGAAAGAAGGTTCTTCAGATTATAAAAAGGTAAGAAAGAGATGGTTCTTTAAAGAACTTTTGACTGAATGGTTCTTTGTGGAACCAAAAATGGTTCTTCTATGGCATCGCTGTGAAGAACCTTTTGAAGCACCTTTATTTTTAAGAGTGTAGGAGTTAACATTCAGAGATGAACAACAAACTCAAGCACACCTGGATAAGCAGACAAACATCTGTTCACTGAAGTCTGTCGGACCTCTGAGACACACTGAGAGCGGAAACCTCAAGTGTGTTTGTGTGTTTACTCTAATATATATTACTCTATTTTTATCAATCAAGCTTTTTTTAGCCTCCAGCTGGTGAGGACAATGGATGACTTGGTCCTTCCTCAGTCACAAGGCTTATCTGCAGCTTTATGGTGATGTAACTCGTTACTGACAAAGGTTCAAGTCAGATTATTGTATATTGCATTGTAATCCCTTTTAATGAGTCGGGTGAGACAGAATGAACATATAATGAATCAGATTAATCTTATCAGTCAATTAGAGCCAAATGCAGATTTAACTCCAAAGTAGCTCCATTGTATTTGCCAGACATCACTGTAATAAACCATGCATTTCATTAAGCACATTATGATATAACATGTATTTCTTCTCAATTTTAAGTTGCTTTGGATAAAAGTGTCTGTTCAGTGAATAAATGTGAATGTAAATACAACCCACATTCATTGTGCAAGTTGTGTTTCCAGTCCCAAAGTTGAAAACTGCTGCCATTTATAAGGGAGGGGCCCTTTCAGTCTTACTCAGTGGTTCATGATCAATAAGCCTAGCAATTTTCTGGAAAGAGGAGACTACACTTTATGATACCTGCTAAACCAAATGTAGGGCAAAAATGAGTTAAACGTCTGTTAAGGAAATGACCCCACCCCAACATACAAAATGTGCCAGTGTTGTTCATGTGTGGCCTTTAGAGTGTGTACTTATATTTGTTAGTATATGTTTTGGTAATTTAAAGGAGTAGTTCACTTTCAGAATGAAAATTCTGTCATCATTTACTCACCCTCCACTTGTTCCAAACCTGTGTTCAACATAACAAAGAAACTCATATAGGTTTGGAAAAAGTGGAGGGAGAGTAAATGATGACAGAATTTTAATTCTGGAAGTGAACTACTCCTTTAACATGCAGCACCCCCACTCCCAGTAACATATACACCCAGAGCAGTGGATGTCCTTCTACAAAGGATGCAAATGACAGACAGGAGGGTTTCATATCAGTCCTCAGATCAGCCTGTCTAATCCTCTCAAAGACCTGCAACACAATTCAGTCCCATTCAGCGAGTCAGAGTCAGATTTCTAGCCAGACAGAGTAGACTAAGATGGAATATCATTCCAGAATTTTAAAAGGAATAGTTCAGCCAAAAAGGACAATTCTGTTATAATTGACTCCCCCTCATGTTACTTACAACTTGTATGGCTTTCTTTCCTCTGCAAATCTACAAATGAAGATATTCTGAATAACATTTCAGTGTTTTTGTCCTTATTAAGTAAGTTAATGGGTACCAACATTTTGAAGATCCAAAAAGGAAATAAAGGTATTGTGAAATTAATCCATATGACCCTGGTGGCCTTCTAAAGTCACATAACAAATGAAAATGTAAGCCCTTATTAATAAAATCAAAACATTGATCAATGAAACATTTGATCATGTACCATGCAAGAATCACTTGTGGTTTGATGTTAATGTTGATTTGAGGTCTTTTTGGAGCTTGAAAATGATGGACCACATTGACTTTAATGGACAAAACAGCTTAAATATTCTTCAAAAATCTTCCTTTC